AAAGAAAAAGCAGACAGACCCCTCCCCACACCTGAGATGCTAGGGCAGCGGCCCCCGCCTTTGTGGCCCCAGGGACCGGGGCTCCTATGAGACTCGAATGCCTGATGATCTGAAGCGGAGCTGAGGCGGGGATGCCGGCTCTGGGGGCGGCTGCAGATAAAGATGAAGCTTCACTTGCTCCCTGCCCACCTCCTGCTGTGTGGCCCGGTTCCTAACGGGCCACAAATTGGAAATGGTCCATGGCCCAGGGGTTGGGGACCCCCGTTCTAGAGCGTATGCTGGTATGGAGAGGTAACTGGACACATGGACTGGCTGAATACGGGAGAAAGAACAGCACGGTGATTAAATGCCCCGGGGCTGAGGAATGAGAGAGCTGTGTTTGGAAGCTGCTCCCCCACGGGCCAGCCAGGTAACTTGGGCAAGTTTCTTCCCTTCTCTCAGCCTGGAATAAACATAATTATGGCGCTTACAAGGTGAGGTTGGAAGGATCAAATCAATGTGTGAAATGCCAGCACGTTAAACACTTGCCATCTGTTGGCTATCATCATTGTTATTAATTAGAAGAATATTCAGGAAAATGCGTCTTTCAGGGCTCAGTGTATAAGACCAGGCACTTTGCAAATCAGAGAGGGGGAAGAAAAGGCAATGGGCTTTAAAGAATAAAATCGGAGGTTTGCAGGAGGAGCTACTACTAAATGAAATACTTCTGACAGCGCGCTTTACTACGGCAGTAAAGTTTCTGTTTACGAAAGTGGAAACAGAATATAAGCCTCCCCCTTGAGAAAGGAAACACACAATCAAAACTACAAATCTTACTTTAAGAAGGAAATCAGCATTAATGAAAGGGAAAGTACAGAGTAGATCCTTAGCACTCTGGAATGACCTTCAACGCGGGTCCAAAACCACAGCGGGCGTCACCCCCAAGGGACGCCGGGCAATGTCTGCAGACGTTTTTGGTTGTCATCACTGGAGAGGGTTGCTCCTGGAGTCTAACAAGTTGAGGCTCGTGGTGCTGCTGAATCCACACCTCACACACACACACACACACACACACACAAATGATCTCGCCCAGAATGTAAATAGCGCCAAGGCCGAGAAGCCCCACTCTAGGCCGACAGTAAATACAGAGCTTTGACTAGCTAAGCAGAGCTGATTTGTGGCCATGCCCTGTTTCCCTGTCGCCAGAGACAGTTCGCTCTATTGTGCTTCCTGACAATCGATTTTGTTCACGACACACACAGGTTTAAACGACAGTTTGAGAACACGGGCCGGAAGGAATCACAGCAGACTTGTGGTAGTGGCCGCCTCTCAAAAGTGGAGAAAGAACTGTGCATGGGGATCGGGGATAAAGAGCACGTCGACTTTATCTGTACAACTTTAATTCCAAAACAAACAAACAAACAAACAAACAAAGCAAATATGACCAAAGCAAATGGTAACAAGGGGCAATTCTGGGTGGAAGATAATGTTATTTAGCCAACACGGTAAGGTAGGCACGGATCTAAGTAAGGACTTAACACGTATTAGCTCATTTAACCTTTATAAAAACCCCACTGAAGCAGGTAACGGTTGGGGTTATTCGCAATTACAGATAAGGAAATCAGTGCCCAGAGAGGTTATGTAAGTTGCCCAAAGTCACACAGCAAATCCGCGTAGAGCCAGGATTTGAACCCAAGCACCGTGGCTCCAGAGTCTATGTGCTAAAGCACTATAGCCTGTGTTGCCTGTCTCTACTTATTTGTCTTAGTCTTTGTGTATTTCTGCATTTTGGGGGTTTCTCAAAACAACGCAGTTTTTAGACTTTGGGAAAAGAACCATACAGCTGAGTCCTGGTGTCATTTCAGACAACGGTCGATTTCGTTAGATTAACGCTTCACGTAAAACCCCGGCAGCGCCTCAGTCTCAAACTTCTGGGTTGACCGGAATTGCAAAGTCAACTCTGGAGGAACAAGCCACAGCTACAGAGCGCACACAGGTGGACACACACTCACACGCACGCACATGCACGCGCACGAACACACTCACACACGCGCGCACACACACACCAGGAGGCCCCGGCCGACCTTGATCATGTGCTCCTGGACGCAGAGCGGGTCGCTGTTCCCCAGGATGCTGAGCAGCTCGTCGTCGGAAATGAAGAAGAACCTGGGGAAGGCGTTCCTCTTGGAATCCAAGTAGTCGTTCAGGCTCTTCTGGCACTTCTCGAGGCCCTCGCTGATGTGCTGTAAGTCGCCGAGGCGGTTCGGGGCCTCGCAGCATCTCTTGATCACGGGGTCCTTCAAGGTCTCGCCCATGATCTGGACAAGGTCGAGAAGAGAGCCGTCGTCAGCCCAGGGACGAGGAGGCACCGGCGGCTCGCATCCAGGGGCAGGCGCTCGCCGGGGCCCGGGCCTGGCAGAGAAGCACCTGCACACCCCGGAACCGAGCCTTTGGGGAAACCAATCTGGCAAAGGCTGTTGGACGTTTAAATAAGCTCCTCCTTAGCACCCTCCGACACACTGTGCGTAACTTCCTCATTTCCGAAGTCAGCTGCTGAGAAAGGGGCTTTTATCTCCTTCCCTCACTGACGTGCCCTACGCACCTACGACAGTGCCTGCGCATAGTATGCCCTCAGTCAACACTTGCCGGATGAGTGAAGCCAGCAACTCCACTTAGAGCCATGTGTGTGGACCAGAATACTCACTCTACTGCTCTTTATAATGGCAAAAAAGCGAAAGGAAATGGCCCACATGTCCAACAGTAGAGAACTAGGTTACTCAGTTGTTGTGACGATGATTTTAGTCCATTAGATGTTGATTTATTGAAATACATGTCAAAAATGTTAAATTTGAAATAACCAATCATGCTGGGTTTTTTTTTATGACCCTATTTTTGTAGAATACTATTTCTCTATTTATCTCTATGTCTACATAGGGATAAACAAATCTGGAAAGATATATGCTAAACTGTTCAAATGGTTATCTTGGGTGTGAGATCGCTGGTTTGTTTTATTTTGTTTTGTTTTGTTTTTTAACACCTATAGCACCTGGTCTTCCCCTAGGTGGTCTCCCATCCAAGTACTAACCAGGCCCGACCCTGCTTAGCTTCCGAGATCAGATGAGATCGGGCACGTTCTAGGTGGCAATGACCGTAGACTACAGATCACTGGGGGGTTTTTTTGTTTGTTTTTGTTTTTTGCTTTTTTTATATTCTAAATCTTTCTTTAATGATTAACATCTACAGCACCTGGTCTTCCCCTAGCTGGTCTCCCATCCAAGAACTAACCAGGCCCGACCCTGCTTAGCTTCCGAGATCAGATGAGATCGGGCACGTTCTAGGTGGCAATGACCGTAGACTACAGATCACTGGGGGGTTTTTTTGTTTGTTTTTGTTTTTTGCTTTTTTTATATTCTAAATCTTTCTTTAATGAATAGGAATTTCTGGTGTAATGTTTGTAAGGACTTTTTTTTTTAAGAGCTTATGCAAATGGATAAGAAGAAATCATAAACTCTAACGAATAAGGGAGACCCAAATGTGAACGGAGTGAAGACCACAACTGCACTGCTAACTAGCAAAGCACCGGCCCCTGGGGGCAGCTGGGCTGGGTCAAAATCCTCACCCGCGAATGGCCAGTGGCAGTGATGGCCGGCGCAGCCCTTGCTGGAAAGGCCTTTAAAATGGGCACGCTCTTTCGCGGGCCGTTAACTTTCTGACAATCTGTCGTAAGACAGTCGTCCTAGATGTGGAAAAAGCATTAGGCGCAAACCTACAAATTAATTATGGGAGCAAAGAATTCCGTTTCAGACAAGGCATCCGGTTACCGGACGGTAATTCACTACCCCGACGTCAAGCCGCCCACCGGAACGTTACGTACAGGCGTGGAAAGAATTTCTCAGATGGTTTTGTAACGTGAAATACGTTTCTCAGGATATTAGGAGACAATTGTAAGATACAAAATTCTATCAACTATCATTACGATTGTGGTTTTTAAACCTACAGCCACAGGAAAAAAGATAAGGGACATTGAAGTGGCCGCGTTCAGGTGATAGAAGGCTTTTCTACTTTTTTCTACTCTTCTACACTTCCCAAATTTTTAAAAAGCGGATATTACTTTGACGCTAAAAATAAATTAAAAAATAAATAAATATAACAAATAAAGAATTTTTAAAAGTGTCCTGTGCTGAACGGGTTAAGGTCACATGGAAAAATGGGAAAAGCTCAGAAGCTACAAACAGAACACCACAGGCAGATGCACAAGTATCTGAAATCGCCGTCCCCCTTTCGTGACCAAAATCGGGGCCGGCCACTTGCCCTTTTAAACACTCTGTCGATGTTGTCGAACTTCTTCGCCTCCTCCGGGAGCTGCGACCTGATATCCCCCCCGATAAAGATGCTTTCCAGGTACATCCACTTTCTCTGCACCAACATCCAAATCTGTGAAGGCACAAGGTCATCGTCAGCATGAGTCCCTCACAGGATGTGTGGCAGAATCCGGCCCAGCATGGGACAGATTCAAATCGACTCGGTCGTAGGACTTCCCAGCAAGATGGCGGGGCGAGCGCGTAACGCTCCTTCCCAAATACGCGGGAATGAGGGACGAAGCACAACTAAGTATTTTTAAATGCGTGGCCACACTCAAAGGCAAAAAGAAGCTCTGTATACCAGCCTGGACCGGGACGAAGCTTCTGGTTGTGTACAGGGGTTGGGGCCCTGAGACCCAGGACAGACCATGCGGAAGCTCATGCGAAACTCAAGCCAAGTACTATGTGACCCATCATTACACTCCAAAGAAATTGAAAACAGGGACTCAAAAACAGTGAGACACGAATGCTTGTAGCGGCAGCGCTGGTCACAACAGCCAGAAGGTGGAAGCAACCCAAACGTCCCCTGACACATGAATGGATAAACGAACTATGGCATGTCCACACGGTGGAATATTATTTGGTCATAAAAAGGGATCGAAGCACTGACACAGGCTACAAAAGATGGACGACCCTTTTCTCTCACCTCGATGACTTCCCCTATTAGGGAAAGTGTTTTCTCCCATTTGTGAACCGTCTGCAGAAAAGGCCCTACAAATCTGCTCCCCGAGATGCTCTGCAGGTTGAAAGTGTTGTCGTCGAGGCACTGGATGATCTCGTCCACAGACCCCAGGATGTAGCCTCGCTCCTGGGTGCCCTTGTAATACTTGACCACGGTAAATTTCATATTTTCCCACGTGTCCAGGATTTCCTTCACTGCCTGGTTAGGAACATAACAGGAATGGTTCAGGCGCATAAATTGAACACGGCAGAACCCCAACCCACCTGCAGCTTCCTGAGCCTGCCTTTGATGGACAGCTCAGCCCAGAGTCTGGGTCCAGTTTTCCGAATAAGCAGAGATTGTGTCATGGAGACCCTAGTCGCTGTTTACCAAGTGGTCGCCATGTGCCCTGTGAGCACGTTCGTACACAATCGCCTTCGGGCCTCAGGGCACCCCGGGAGGCAGGGGTTATTACGACCCACGTGATGGAGGCGGGAACGGGAGGCTCAGAGAGGCCCAGCTCCCTCGGCTACCAAGTGCCAGAAGCAGGGGCTCAGACCCGTCTGCCCGGCAGGTCCTGCTCTACTGTTAAGCAAGGAAATCGAATTATAAAATAATATGCCTGTTTGTGGTCATATTTTTAAAAACGCCTGTGTCAATATCTGTGTATGTGTATGTTATGTATAACGTATGCATACGTATGTGTGTTTCTATGTGTGGTGTGTGCATGCATGGTGTGTGGGCACAGGCGTGTGTACATGTATGCATGTGTTCATGCATGTTTGCATACGTGTGTTTGTATGTATGTGTATACGTGTGTATGTGCATTCTAGGTATTAAAGGATGCACACTAAAATAGTAATAACAATTAGGTGATAGAATTATGAGTGATTTATTTTCTCAGTTGTCTACCATGAGCGTCCATTACTTCTTCAATACATAAGTCAAAAATGAAACTATAATTAAAGAAAATAAAAAATGTAACTGAGGTTGAAATTCTATTTCTAGAACAAATAGTTCTTTATTACTCAAACATTACAGGTCTCAGAGCAAACATATTTTCTCTTTGAATTAAAAAATTTTTTTCTCTTTGTTCTCTAGACTGTTTAATAACTGAAAAAAGTCAGCCCCACCTTCTCGATGCCAATCTCCTTGATGGCCGCGGTTACGATCTCATTGAGAACTTCCGTGTGTTTGTGGAGCTCCATGGCAAACATATTATCCAAGGTGAACGTTTCGGTCATTTCAAAAAACACACCTGTTTTTTCCATAAGCTCTTTCCAATGCCTGAAAGGACGTCGACATTAAAATCTTTACACTGGCGGAATTTAGCGATGGGTTTAATTATCCCCGCCGAGGTCACAGGACGACCCGGTTATAAACACTTTTCGTGATTTCGGAATTCTAAAAAATGAGGACCCTGTTGGAATTCTACCTGCGGTTTCCCAAAAGCCCACTGGCTGCCAGAGTTAAACCCAGGAAACCACATCCGGCAAGATGCTCTCTTAGGCGGCTAGTCTTCACGACCACCTAAGAAAATACGTGGCTTGAATTTTTTTGGAAACTGCTTCCGCCGTCTTCTCTGGACCAACGATCTCGACCTCAGTGGTATCGCTCAGCCTGTTTGAGGCCCTGGTGTGACTCGCCGGCCCCCGCGCAGTCAGTACGTATTTAGCAAGCGCTCACTCTGTGCCAGTCAGCGGGCCAGCTGCGGGGGACAGACGGTGACTAAAAGGCAAGGCCTCTGCCTTCGAGACTCTACCACCCGCTCGAAGAGACAGTCCACAATCAAATGCAGTCTGCTGTGCGTGTGCGCACACAGACACACGGACACACACACATATGGTGGTCAGGAAGAACCCACTGGTTTTTCTCTCTCTCTCTCTCGTCCCCGGCCAAGCCTGGGAGCCGGTACGAAGTAGGGGCATCAGAGCCCTGGTTGGGGGGTGGGAGGTCCACAGGTGACACTGCTTTAAATAACACTAAGTTGTCGGGGGGAAGTGATTCCCTCTCCGTCCCCTTCCACCGCCCCTGATCCCATCGAAGGAAAAGGCTCCGATGGCGCTTCTGTGTCTCTAACGCTGTTCTGCTGGCTCGGTGACGGGCAACAGTCCTGGGAGCTCATTTTTATTTCTATAATTGCTTTCTTTTTATGGCAAGAACCTTTGGCTCTCCGTTTACGGAGGTGATGTGAATTCCGTTTTAAAAGAAGGAGGAGGAGAATAAGTAAGCTGATGGGGAGAAAATAGAGAAATGACCGTACAAGTGATCCTGGGTCTGACGAAAACAGTGAGAAATAAGTGTGGGAAACACTGGGTTATGGAATCGTAACACAGGGAGTTAGCTAGAAAATGCTTCCTTCTGTCTGGTTTTACAGGTGAGGACACTGAAGAACGCCTGGGCAAACATGCGTGTCCCGGCGACTCGAGCAGAATAGTGACAAAAAACCCATGTCACCAGGGCCTGAAGGCTGCCTGAGGCTTTGTTGAAAGGGAGACTGACAGGTGTAGAGAGATGTCAAAGATCTGTTACTAGCACCTACGAGAGCCGCACTGATGCAATCAGAAGACTTGGAAGGGAATGAGATGGGAATGACTTTCTCACGAGGCGGAACGAAGTCCTCTGATAGCAGGACGTGACTCTCTGCCCACACCGGGACGGAGGACGGAGGAACTGGGAAACATATCAGGCAGAATGCGACCCACAAACTTCCTAGCAATTCCTGTCTGTGTGGAGCCACATCCAGACGCCGACGGACAAATGAAAGGCAACTCTCTGCCACGCCACCCCCAGACCTGGCTGCCCCACTAAAAAACCCGCGAGGCCCACTCTGTCCCGTCCGGCAGCCACGAGTCGCATGTGCTGTTGAGCATCTGACGTGTGGCCAGTCCAAACTGAAACAGCCTATGGGTGTAAAATACACAGCAGATTACAACGTCTTTTGTAAGAAGACTGTAAAATATCAATGACGTGTTGGAATGATATTTCGCATATATAGGGTTAATTAAAATATACTATGAAAATTAACTTCACGTGTTTCCTTTTACTTTTTCAGTGTGGCTGCTAGGAAACTTTAAGTTACATATGTGGGTGGCACGTTTCTGCTGAATGGCACCGATCGAGACCCTTGGTTTCTTTTTAAAAGACCTTCCGACAAAGCGAGTGCAAATGACACTTCACACCTGACGGTGCCTGTCTTAAAAAAAAAAAAAATAAGAGCATCCTATTTCAGAGAAAGTTTACACAGAAACGATATCGTAGAAATAGGATTTGCATACTTCTGGCCCGGCCTCACTGCCGAGACCTGGCCCCTGGCCGTCAGATCTAAGCAAAGACAATTTTAAAAGCGGGAGCCCCTCCCACGCTTCCCCGTTGGCTGACAGAGTCGACGAAACACACCTGTCCCTGAGCGCCTCGTGCTTCAAGTCAAGGAGGAGAGGAATCGAGTCTTTGAACGCCTTCATCTTCGCTTCCAAGTGGTAAGCCACGGACAAGTTCCGGACCTGCCGGGGCAGCCTTCTGAGCGCCCTGAGGAAATCTTCGATTCCTTCCTGGAGGAACTGCACGTTGAGGTTGATCCAGAGCGTCTGCGACCACTCGTCCTTTGCAACCTGGAAATGGGCAGGAAAGTCCCGTCAACGAGACCCCTTCGGAACCGTGAGGGTGGCTTGAGCGAGAGAGCCATCTCTTAGCCCGGGGTCCTGCTACTTCGTTTCCAGTGTCATCACCCATCACACCCACAGCAACCGCGCGTTCACACGGGAAGGATGGACTACGAGGCTCTAGGACGCAAACGAACAATTCCGACTCTTTTTAAGCTCTCGCCAAAACGGTGCCGTCTCTGAGGACGTGTGGGATCTGGGAGAAACAGTCTTCCTTTCCTTAAGAGGAAAGTGAGAATCACGAAATCAGAAACAGGTGTTTCGCAAGTCAGGAGTCACGTGGGTCTGTGGGCACCTACCTCATTGGGACACGATCCTAACACGCTTCCCTTTCCTGAGAAAAGCAGCTAGAGCGACATAGGACAACTTACTTAATGATCATCGCTTGATTATCATAATGAAAAGGCTTTGGGGTTCTACTTTCCTGAGATTTAACATAGAAGGGACTGTCTTGTGTAAAATTTACCATCTCAGATAGCTTCCCTGAGCAACCTGTGGCTTGACAGAGTTGCTTTGAGTCACGAAACACATTTGACAAAAAATCGTGTTCATTGACGAAATCCATGTGTGGTCATTGTTTTAATTCAAGGCGTAGACAACATTACGATACATTTACATTTTTTCACTTCTTTTCTTTGCCTCCTAAAAAGATATAAAAAGCTCTTTTTGTTGTTGTTGTTGTTGGATTGAGACAGCTTCCATGATTCGTGACCTCTTTTTTGCAAAAATTTAGAGAGACATGAATTAGAAAGAAGACACTGGACTCCTTGGAGCCAGCCGGTCACGAGCTTGCCTTTCCCTCCGCGCTCGTGTTCGGTGCTCCTGGACAAGCACAACTCGGGTTAAATCCACCCCTTGACCTTCATCGGCGCTCCACACCTACACCGGGGCAGCCGGCAGTGACTGCTAGAGCTCTCCACCTGGCTCACCGGCCTGCCTGCATCCCAGCCCCTAAAGCTGCCACCTTGGCCCGACCACCCTGCCATGCTTCTAGCCCGCCGTTTCTCCCCCGCTCTGCTCTCCTCGACCAGCCAGCACCCCCACCCCCTGTCCTCTCTGCTGACAGCCTTGCCGTGCTCGTCCGTGGGGGAACTGGAGCCATCGGAACTGTCAGCATCTCCCACTAGAAGCGTCTCCGCACAGATGCGCTGTTTTCACCGTAGGACGAGACGTGACCCCGCCCGCCTCCTACGTGAGGCCACATCTTGATCTCGTCCCTCCCCACCTACTCAGGGGCACCAGACATCACCCAAGCAAGCCTCCCTTCTCTCTCCCAGCTCCAGTGTGCATCATTCCCATCAGTAACGAGCTCACGGTATGACCTCTCCCATCGTAATGAATTCTCCTGATCCCACGGTCCCTCCACCGGCCACTCCGCATTTCTCTGCTTTTCTTTATGACGAGACTCATTGCGAAAGTTATGCCCGTTTTTCTTAAGTTTTATTGAGGATTAACTGGTGTGCAATAAGCAGGACACATTTAAAGTACAGAGTTTGGTACATTTTGACACATGCGCACACCCGTGACACCGTCACCGCCGTCGAGGTAATGAAGTCACCCATCACCCTCAAAGGGCTCCTCTTGCCCCTCCCCCTCCCCTCGTCCCAC